AATCCCTTAGCCTAGTCAAATAGTAAATTTAACCAGCCCAGAGTATTCATAACTCTCTGCCTTTCGCCCAATGGTCTGCATGGTTTCGGAAATGTTTGCAGCAGAAACGTATTGTCCAAATTTCCGCGACGATAAATTAAAAGCCTGAATGCAGTATATTTAAGGCTTTACCAGCAGTCGGGAGTGTTAGGGTGTTGGTCCCTGGTAGTCGGCCAACGGAAGCCGGCGGTATCGGCTATGAGGCGTTAGAAGTATTGTACAGCCATGTGCATAGTTTGCAAGTCTGCGTTGCGACATTTGCTGGAATAACCAAGAGTCAGAGATAGGGCCAGGGCCATGATAGGCCAGGCCAAGACCATACCATAGCCTGACCAGACCGTGAAGAATCCACCCGACAAAGCCACTAACAACCTCTAAAAGTGTTTTAGTTAGTCGCTAAAACCGGTCGAAACAATTTTTCTTCTCCTCCAGAAGTTTTTGTGGTTCATTTCTTAGGTGACATATTTTGTACTATTTTCTTGAGATAGATGGGTCGGCCCTACTTTTGGCCCTTGTCCTGCATTTGGCAATGTCCTAATGTGGAATTGACTGATCAGCATCAATAGCCGAGTCGATTGAGCCATGTCTGTCTGTCCGTCCGTCTGTCCGTTCTGATGAGCGCCTAGTACTCAGAGACTATAAGCTAGAGCCACAAAATTTTGCATCCATGTATGCTCACACTGTTACAAGTGTATTTAAAATTGTATAAAAGTGTATTTTAAAAAATTAATATGCAGTGGCTAAACCCACCCCGTCCCGCATTCACATTCTCTCATTCACACTCTGCTTCTGCTGTGTGTGGCCACTGCGTCTGCCGCGAGTCTGCAGCGTGTGGGTCTAGGGAAGGGGAGCGACCTAAAGAAGCGTGTTGGTGTGAAAAGTGTTGTAGATATAGATGACATATGAAGAATAAATGTTAATGACAAAACACCGCTAAGGTGCAGTAGTAGTACTTAGTGCCGGGTATAAAGGTTGTGACGCCTAAGAAGCGTCTCACACGTCCCTTCTCGTTTTGTTTTATTTCGCTCACTTGTTGGCTATTATTTTATGCACATCGATTTTCGATCAGTGCTTTTAATTTGCCATCCGATGGAGCGATACGCTGGACGAGGCCGCAGGAAGGTAAGACTGTACATCGAGGTTGTCCGTTTAGCACTGTTTGCTTGTATGCTGTAACGAAACGGGAGAACAGTGGCTTTAACTTTTTAAAGTGACATTAATCGATGCTTTTGGGCAGGGCTCGGCTCGGCCCTATCTATTGTGCATAGGACAAGGCTCTGCCGCGAAGCTGACGCTCGCGTACACGCCTACTGCAGTGATTCCTTCCAATACCAATTCATTGAAATGTTCCCTTCTAGTACTGCGTACTAGTTCCTAACTGGTGATATAAGTACTTATTGGTAAACCACCACTATTCACTTTGCTAACCCTAAGAAATTTCATCATATCGTTGTTTTGATGTCCGCAAAAAGGGTCAATCGCCACCAATTCATTTACCGTGAACTAGTGATAGGAAAAGGGTAGCTACATGGGTACCCATGATAGGGTTGGTGATGTAAGGACCCATGAAAAGGTTACTTACATGGGTACCCATGTAAGGGATAGGGATTTAATTACCCAGTGATTCCGGTGTTCGTTTACCATAGGTTTATTTCGGAAAGTACCCATGTACGGACCAGCCTAGTGGGTAGTTCGTGCACTGTGAATAGCCACCGCCAGTACTGCAGGGATCCGTTTTGAGTGCGTCTTCACAAACAAATGCAAAAGCGGCGCGTTCTTTGTTATCATAGTACAACTCACTCCACTCCGGAACCCTGTTATTGTTTTTAAACAAATAATTTCAAATTTCATTCTATTGTTTCACTCTGGCTTTCAGAGCAACAGCAGAAACGGAACGGACCGACTCGGATTTTCACCAGAGGCAATTAACACAACTATTCCTGCGGCGGGTAACAAAGTTGGACCCATCCGATATCAACTCTTGTAGTTGTAGTTTTAGTCAAGGGCCTTCCGTTGACGTTTTGAGCAAGTGGCAGATGTTGGATGGTTCGCCAACGCTTCAAGTACGGCGACAAATCGTGCAACAAAGTCAAATGCACTTTGCACTGGCCAAGAGCATGCTGCAAAGTGGACGTGAGGATGCTGATGTGGATGGAAATGAGTATGGGTATGGGGATACATGTGTATATGTGATGAATCATTTTGCAATATTGCATATTGTGCGTCACACTTAAATTCAATTAAGCTACAAAGGCAGTTTCACAACACAAGGCAACGCCATGTGCCATCGCCTGTCGCACACATGGGAGCCAGGACCACAGGCGTCCAATCACCCGTCATCCTTTTAGTCCTGCCCACAGACAGGGAACAGAATGTTGACGATAGCGATGGCGATGACCATGTCGAGAGTGGAGTACCGCTGGCTACACTTTATAGCAGTGCACTTCATGCGCACATTCAATGATTCATGCACCAATTTGCTGAACCATTCAAGTCGCTACTCATTCAGTCATTGACAGCTCTGGCGGGTCCAACATACATATGTATGTAAAATAGATACATTAAAAGATATTTAAACTAACTTAAAACTAGTGCTTTCATAAAGAATAGAAAAGAATATATATATATAGAGGAATGAAAAATGTATGAGCCCACAATTGACACACATCTCACATGTCACTATTGGTCTCGGCCTGTGGCGGCTTCTGGACCTGGGCTTGGTCCTGTGGCTTGGACCAGCCGTACATGCCGAATCTTTGTTGGAGATTCTTACTTAATTCTTACCATCTTGTTGTAGATGCTCCAGTCAATGTTAATGTGCAGATCTCTGGTTCCATGCCAAATTGAGATAGCACGATATAGATATGTAGTCGCCTGGGTATACTGGCAGATGATGGACGACGTGGAGGGATTTTGTCTGCTTCCAGTGCGTTGTCGTTTACTGGTGTTGACGACCATCGCGCGTTGGCCCCCGCAGGAAAGGCAATGTCGAAATGTTTTTGTATTTTTTGTTTTGAGCCGTGTTTTTCAACTTTTTTTAAGATCTGTCTTTCGCAGAAAATTATTAAATTTCGTCTTTTGGGTACTTGGCAATCTTATTTCAGTTATCTCTTATCGGTTGTTGAGTCCGAAAATCCTGAGCAGGCTGCTGTACATGCTGTTATGTAATTATCATTACTAGCCATTTGAACCACTGACGTTTGTTCGGTTCGGTTGTGGCAGCCAGATGAGAACTTAACGCTCAGCACCATGACTTGTGCCACATATATACATACTTACATATGTATATGGATGAATAGCTCCATCGCTTCCACATATGGGGGACAATACTGAATTTGATTTTGATTTATCTTTATTAAGGTGAACCTCCTCGAGGCGTCTGTTTGTGTTGTGTGTGTTTGTGGTGGCTTGGATTCTGCAATAGAGGTCGGGGAGGCTACAATTTTCTATTTGTTCCGGAGGGGACCGTTCTCTTAGTTCCGCTCTAGTGGTTAGTGATGTGTCGATGTTGTCGATAGGTCTGCAAATCTCTAATTTACTGTATGCACTCTTCCACGCTCCTTTAAGTGTTTTTCTAGGTGTACTCAAGCACAAACCCATGGATGCTGCCACAAAGGTGAGTAAGTGGAAGTTCCGGAGTTTTATTATAAAGCTGTGGCCAGAAATAATTTGTAGAGATGTAAAGCACTAGCCTCGGCATCTTTTGAAGCTCGTCTGATGCTTCTCCATCTCCTGCTCCTTCTGCTGATGCTGTTGATGCTCTGAAGAACTAATTCCATTAAAGCAAGCTCTAACTTGATTTTCAATTGACTCCTCATTTGCAGCGGACGGGAATGGAAGGTGCTGGATGCTGACTGCTGGTTGTTGGATGGTTGTTCTCTCTGTCAGCAATCAACATGTTCAATTGAGCATATCCTGCCGCTCTCAGGACACAGCCATGCAGCGCAATGTGATTACGCGAGGCTATTTTGTACTTACACGAGACCAGCAGTCGCATCCGTATCCGTATTCCACATCCATAGCAACTGGAGAAGGACCTGAAACCGAACCAGGACCAGGACCACGACCTGGCAAGAGCCCAGGCCAATTCACAGGAAAATAACAAGGACACGTAATAGAGGAGGAAAGGTGGGTGCCTGCCCGTTGGCTTTCTTGTACATTTCATTTGATTTTATGCGTTTCACTTTATGCTGATGTTTTTATTATTACATTTTCTTTAACTTTCATTTACATTTTCTTGCTTTCTAGTGCTCTTCTCCGCCGCCTGGTCGTTGGGCTGATGTTGAAGACTCCTCTTCATTTACACACTTTTCATTCAATTTATTGTATGTTGCAAATTGTGACTATACTCTGCCCAGTCCTTTTGCCGGTTTCAACACTTTCCAATTTAGCAAAAGCGTGAAAAATTCGAAGCCCAATTGAATTGCAAAGCTAAACGAACTGAAATAAAATACATATGTACAAAGATAGCAGACAGAATTAAAAGAATATACGAACTTCAATGTGAAATCTCATGTGAAATATCAATCTCAAAATGCGTATATGTACGTATACACTTACGTATGTAAATTTATATTTATGAACACTTGTACGTAAGGCGTTTAGGCAGCAATATATGTACGCATTTGTCTGTCTCCGGGTTTTGGACTTGGAATAGGTGTACCCATATGTCGAGCATCAAACTTGAGAGCAGATGCGTGAGATTCATTTTCGGAATTCTGACTTAACTTCCAAAAAACATCATTCGAAATTGAATTTGTACGGGTTCGTTCCGTCGCCTCGAGTTATGTGCCGAATGTGAGTCGATCGATGGGAATGCAAATCGGAAATTATATGTTGACCGAAGAATTAAGCCACTGTACATATGAAGTTTCCCTATTCTGTCAACCGAAAATTTTTTTGTGTTCTATTCATATGTACGCATACACATACATTTATAAATTATATATCATCACATTTTAGAAATAGCTTAAACAAAATTTAAGAGAAACAGTAGAATTTAATTTTCATCAGCATACACATACATTTATAAATTATATATCATCACATTTTTGAAATAGTTTGAACAAATTTTAAGAGAAACAATAGAATTTAATTTTCATCAGACGTCATGTCTTCTCCTCGGCGCATTGCATCCAAACCAGACATAGCTTCAGCCTCAACTTCAAATTCATCATCAGCACCAACAATGCCAATGCCCAATGCATCTGCAACCCCAACCACAGCCGAATGTCCGGGAACAACTGCTGCTCCTCAAGCCGTGGTTGAGGGTTCCCGCGACACCCTGGATACTCTGGACTGCGATAACGCTCCGAACACAAGCGGTCAACGAAGAAGATTTTCCCCCCAAGGGGCGGACTGTGGCCTTCCGGTTAGCACCTGTGCATTTCGGGTGCGACGGGAGCTAAACGAGATCCGAAAGAATCCGCCGCCCAATTGCAGTGCCGATCTCTTCATGGACAGGCTGCTCCATTGGACGGCCACGGTTATCGGTCCCGCCGGCTCCGTGTACGAGGGTGGCCACTTTGAGCTGGACATTCGCTTTCCCCTGAACTATCCGTTCCGACCACCGCGTATCCGCTTTTCGACGCTCATCTACCATTGCAACGTGGACTGCGTGGGCGCCATCTGTCTCGACGTGCTGAACGAGCGCTGGTCGCCGGTGATTAATGTGTCCAAAGTGCTGCTGTCGATCTGGCTGCTGTTAGGAGAGTGCAATCCAGAGGACCCCCTGGTCATGTGCATTGCCGAGCAGTACAAAACCAATAGGCAGGAGCACGACAAGGTCGCCCGCTTCTGGACCAAGCGCTTTGCCATGCCCAAAGAGGCAAAGTCCAACAATTCGAATCTAAAGGAGCCACACGAGCCAGCGAAGTTAACGGAACCAAAGAATCCAGAGCAGCAAAATAGTTTTAGCAAGCCGATGTAAATTATTTAACCAAAGAATTCAACTGCTAATGAAGATTCGATGAAACATCTCTGATCGATGTTCTGCCCTTAATGAAAATCAGTTCTGCTGTCTTTGCTGTCAACAAACCATTTTGATATCAATATGTAGACCTATCGAGAACTCTTGAGAGCTTTTCTCGGTGAATCAGGAACCCAAGGCAACAAACTCACCCACTCTGTGAACTCCAGCCCCGGTCGCAGGTCCTGTTTCAGCCCTCTTCCACTGTTCAACCGTTTTAGTCTGACTCGCTGAGATAGGCACGTGGTCCTCTGCGGCTCATGTCTATGAATATTCATGAGCAGCCAAAAAAAAACACTGCCAGAGGCGTTGGAAAAAAATCACTGAACAGAAAAGGGGAAATGGGTGAGCGGATGACATTGAAAAATGAATTGGAACGCAAGCGAAGGATTGGACTGCGGGGTATGGATAATCAGCTCCCAAACTATCAACATCAAGGAATAGTTAATATAATAGTTAATTATAATATTATATAATATAATAATTATATATATATATATAATTATATAATAGTTTTCTGGGAGACACCTTTCCCCAATAGGGAATATCTAGCTATGAATTCAGGAGAGTCGGGTCCCTACAATATGAGCATATAGTTCCGTTTCCTCTCTGGCGAGGACTTAAGTCTGTCATCCCAGGAGTAAAGTTATGTACTTCTGGCTTCAAGGAGCGAAAGTTGAAACGACTGTGGTTGGGTGGAAAGAAAAGCAATTTTCTGGCTGACAATGTCATCAAAGTTGCGAGCGAACCTTTCAATATCCCACGCTTAAGGTCCAATCCCATTCCTTGTCTGTAGCTCTATCGCTCGCCCCAACAAGTCAAACGTTAATGAACTAAAAGAAATTAATTAAATTGGTAAGCACTGCTACCCACATACCCGAACGAGTACATATGTACATACATATATGTACAGTGTACAGCTTAACGCCCGGCCCCAATTCCTTTATTGGAAACGACATCCGGGCTGGACATCACCCGGCGACGTCAACGGCGACGGCAGCGAATCGAATGACGCTGCCAAAGTAAATGCAATAAAAGCAAGTTTCTCCATGACTCGACTCTGGCATGGGTGCTACGAAAAGACCGTTAAAAATGAGGAGAAAATGGGTGGAACGAATAATGGCATGGGCCGGATCGATCCGACTGCGAAATGCCCTGAACTCATCAGCCGGCAATCCCGGAGGTGGTGAACCACAAAAGTGATGCCTCCATCTGTGGCTGAGGTCCATTCCCCATTCGACTGGCTCGGTCAAATATCCGGTAGACTTCAGAGGACTCTACTTCACGCAGTGGAAGGTGACAGTGCCATACTAGAGCTGCACCCTTGGCCATTCGCACCCGGGCTAATCGCAAGGTTAGGGGAGGCGAGTCGATTCAATGGCATTTGCCAGAAAACAGGCAAATAACTTGGACAATCCATCAACTCCTGGCCCTGGATTTGTAGACGAAAGGAAGAGGAGGTCGTTCAGTTACGGAGATATAGCTGGAGGGGAAGCTCGATTTGATGTACGAGTATTACGAGCATTGGGATTGGGATTGGACCGGATCCAGGCCTGGTGACTTTCGTGGATAATCAGATTGGGTAGATAGTTGGCACTCCATGCAGTTGCTAGCTGGACATTTGCCTGCAGCGGAAACGATTTGGTGTCGGATGGGGACGGACTCTAGACTGTGTTTAGTGCACTGCCCGTACAATTCACATTTGCTTCGACTGCAAGTGAATTGATTTTGGCTTGATTTTGGGCAAAGTCAATTATGGTGACCATTACGTTAATAATGTCTTACCTTGGGTCTACTGGGGTGACCGTAATTTTAGAAAAATACCTTCCATGGTAGTAGTCGAATAGAGTTTTAGAAAAACCCACATTCAGCCAAGTACTATTCATACGAGTATCTGCTCGAGAGTCGCTCTTCCACTTAGCGGATAAGCCCGTCAGCTGGTGAGGGGTTCTTGTGTCACATGGTAATAATTAGTGCCACATGTTAAATGTTTTGCTCGCCTCATGGCCGTGTCCCTTTCGGTGTTCATGGATTCCCGAACCAGGGAATGGCCAGGGCCACTCGCCGATATTGCAGAAAATTATCAAATGACCCTGAGAAGTGTCCTGCTGATGAGGTTCGATGTGGAGTGGAGCATCCAAACGCTCAACTGGACTTAATACCCTTTTCCTGGGCATTTTCAGAGGCAGAGCCAGACTTGTTCGATTGAATGCCGTGTCAAGCGGTTTCTGCACTCTCAGCTTTTATTGAATTCCACTACAGTTTTATGTCCACCAGAGCAGCCAGCCTCCGTCATTGAAACGTCATCATAAAAGCTGCCAACGTGGCCCATAGACCCAGAAGACGGTAGCCAGGACGGTAAGGGTCAGGATGGGTCTCCGCTTTTTTTGGGAGCAACATAATGTTGTAAGTATATGGAAATGCAAGGGCTGCAAATCTCCCCATTGCAATCATCAATTCTTTAAGCTAATTTCTTAAAATCCATGAAACCTTACTCTATCTTTTTAAAAGTTAAAACCAAGACTCGGTTTTTAACGCTCTGTATTAGAAAAAGAGTGACCATCAAAGTTGCGTACCAGAAATTTTCGATAGATGGCACTTTCGAAAAATCTGCTGTGAAACCTAGCGGTCATTATTGCACTGAATGTGCAGGGAAAAAGTATCAATTATATTGCTGTAGTAGTTGGCGATGTCTTCTACATCTAGATGTAGTCCTGAGTGCCGAGTATAAAAGTTGTGACGCGTAAGAAGCGTCTCACACGTCTCTTCTCGTTTTATACTCAAGTGAATAAGAGATAAGAGATAGGGAATGACCATATCCATCAGATCACCGAATTGGAATCAGATTGGATCATTTTGATAGCCAGAAATTAATTCCAACCCGTCCAGCAGCTTTGCTACCTCACAAAAATCAACATTTCTGCATTTCAAAGCATAATATTTTTCAAACGGTAGGCTAAAAACACAAAGTGTTTGGGTACACTTTATAGATGCATTTAGTGAGATTTTGTCGAGTAGTGTCTCCAGACTGGATTAGTAGATAAGGCTGTTCGACTCAAAGGCTTCTTCCACCTCAACGTTTCTGTGTACCTAATGGTGATTTGTTTTAATGCAGTCGTCCGACCTCAACAAAGCGAAATTAATTTCGGCAACCGACTGCAACTGAAGAATGTTCTAGGGCTTCCCCAAAAATCCGAAGCCAGAGACGCAATCGAGTTGGCGAAAGCTTAGAGGCTGGCGAGCATCAATTAATTTAAAATATTTCCACAAAAACTCAACCCTTGGTGAAGCCTAAGATGCTGTTGGAGGGGAAGCTGGAAATGGAGCTGGAGCTGCGTCTGAAATTGAGCATGAAGCTGATTCTATGGACATTAAAGGGACAGGGAATTGAGTTTGTAGAACTGCTGGTACTTTGGCTTCTGGAGCTTTTCGCTCATCGCATGCCGGTAATCTCGAATTTTAATTAAGGCAGGGCACGCCGGGCTCTATGGCCTGTGATGGGACTTGGCTTATCACTGCGATTAGACTCCCAGTGTCTGGAGTCTGGGGTCTGGTAATTTTCGCCATTCCACCTAAATATTATTTTACACCCTGCCCTAACTAGAACTGCGTGCGTGTTATGCCCACCATAACAAAAATCTTCACAATGCCGCCAGGCTGCAACTGTTTCACTAAAAGAGAAACAAACCGGCAACAAATCGTACGAAAATCGCAAGCGCCGTATGTGAGGGATGCCTGGGTGCATGAGGGTATGGGTGCTGTTACCGGACATGTTGTTTTATGCGTTTTATATTTTGCCAGCACAAAAGTTATGGTTTCTATGAGGAAGCAGGCAAAGAGGCAAAAAGCTGCTGGAGCCGAAAGAAAATGAGAATCCTTTGCCCGTTTTCTTTTCATTTTTGCACAACTTCCTGGGAAGGAGGGGCATGAGAAGGGATGCACTTGCTCTTTAAGTTAAATGTTTGAAAAGAAAAATTAAAAACTTTTTACAACACACACAACATGCGCGGGCTCCTCTGCCATAATATCCTGTCAGCGGGCCAAAATGCAAGTGGTAAAAGTTAAGCGACCACGCGTCAGCAAACAGGCGGTTGGTGATACAGGGTTGCGGATTGTAGGTGCTTTTGGTGCAACAGCAGAAGAAGATTACGACAACCCCCTTTGGCTAGTTCCAGCTCCTTCTCCAGCACTAGCTCCAGCTAAATCTGCTTGCATGCGTTTTCTCTAAAAAGCGTCTTAATTCCGAGTAAGAGAAGCCGCAGGCAGTGACACCAACATGCAACATGTTGTATGCTGTATGCTTTATGACGCATGCCGCCTCTCGCCTGCTGCAGGCAGATATTCTTGTTTGAGAAGTCGCAAGCTGTATCTGTGGTGTGTGTGTGTCCTCTGATGCACCTCTTTTAGAATCACTTTCAATAAAGTATCCGACGAACATCTCATATTCCTGTTTTGTATGTATACAGATCAAACGATTTCGATTTCAACAAATATGCTATTGTTATGGAACAAAGGACCTGAACTCTATGAAATATACTTACTTGATTTGAGCTTTAAAATGTATGAGAGCAATGTTAATTTCTGCTTAAGTTAACATAATTTTTTCATGTTTTCAGAAGGATACCAGATTTGGATAATAATTGTAGTAAAAAAGCATATATTGAGTTTAAAATGGATGCAGACGCACGGATATGCCTCTTAAAATCACTTGCGGTTCACCATAGATGGACCAACCTCCTCATACTTTTCCTTCGAGATACACATCAGTTTAAGGAAAGGCAGTGAGCTGAGTACCGATCCACCCATCCATAATCCATAATCCATAATCCTGACTCTCATATTGGAGGGCGCCAGTCCAGCGATATCCCGCTGCGTGCGCTCGGCAAATCAAGAAAGGTGGTGCCCACCTACAGCATGATGTTGCCGAGAAATTCTCGTCGAACGTCCTCGTCGCACTTATTGATCGAGTTTACCATCGGGCAGAGTGTACGTTTTTTCCTGCTAGGTACTGAATACTCCTGCGTGAGATCACGCCCGGCCCAATCCAGAACCACGATGGCATGAGACAGTGCATTACCTTCGTAAATGGGAACAGCATGAGAGCACCCGTCGCCAACGTCGAGAACAATCCCTGTGGAGCAACCCGAGGAATATATCGCCAAGACCTGCTGACTGCCCACATACAGTGGCGGAAAAAATTATAGAAAAGACATGTTTTTTAAATTATTTTTAAATATTGTTCAGGGAACATTTTTGTTTAAGTTTCATAATTTTGTTGATGGCCAGCATAACAATGTTTCAAAATTTAACAAAAAAGTAATTTAAAAAAAAACTCAATATAACAGGAATTAATTTTCAGGAATTAATCTTTTCATAACTTTTCTTAAAACGGTTCTAAGCGAATTATATTGGTAACAATTCATAAACTAACGGCC